TACTATTAAATGTAATTTATTATCAAATACAATCTCAGTTAGATATACTTGACCAGCAAATAATAACGTTTATTTACGGAGTACTGATAGAAAAACTGAGTCAGTTTGACATACAGGGTGTTTAAAAAATTTATAGCTCATAAATCTATATCAATAAGACTTAAATAATTTCGCTATAACTCTACTGAACATTAGCTTTTTACTTTGATCTCAAACGTCATTTTTATGTGGTTACAATTCCCTTTTTAAAATATGTTATTTTATGGTTTCCTTGTTGTTCTAGTTTTGTAATATTATATTTTTGAACTTTTGAACTTAACTAGATTTTGAACTTTATAAAGAAGATAAAAAAATAACTTACTTTACTGTCCTCGTGTAATGGAAAATGCTAGCCATCTCACTCTTTGGTACTGGTTTGATGTTCTCTCTCTTTCGCTGATGTTGATTTACGTCGAGATTTTTTTAATCCAGCTGGTTAATAAAAAAACATTTTTGTTTTTACATTCTTAGTACTATTAAAATGTAATTTATCTATTGTTTTATCAAATACAATGTCAATTGATCAGACTTGATCAGAAAATAATAAAGTTTATTTACTGAGTACTGATAGAAAAACTGGGTCAGTTTGACATATAGGGTGTTAAAAAATGTTATTGCTCATAAATCTATATTAGTAAGAAAGACTTAAATTATTTATCTATAACTCTACTGAATATTAGTTTTTTCCTTTAATCTCAAACGTCATTTTTATTTACCTAGCTACAATTCCCTTTTAAAAAATATGTTATTTTATGGGTTTTCTGATTGTTCTGGGTTTATAATATTATATTTTTGACCTTTTGAACTTACCTAGATTTTTTAACTTTGTAAAGAAAAAATTTTGAGAAAATTGATTGCATGATAAAAAAATAACTTACATTACTGACTTGTGTAATGGAAAATGCTATCCATCTCACTCTTTGGTACTGGTTTGATGTTCTCTCTTGCTGATGTTGATTTACGTATATATTTTTTAATCCAGCTGGTTAATAAAAAAAAAAGATTTTTGCTTTTTTTTTCATAGATTAAATTTTAGAAATAGCTAGAAAAATTTCTTTCCGTTACTGAAATTTCATTTTTCTATTTTTTGATAATTAAAATTTTTTTGCTTATCCTGTATATCAAAACAGTATATATATTTATCAAACTACGTTATAGAACAAAGCTAATTTAACTTATGATTCATAAGAATTATCTGCTAATATATATTGTATGATATACATTTTATTTTTTTGGCTGACTTTTAAAAAACTGTAGGTATAGCTCAGAAAATTGAAATAGAACAAAATATTTATAATAAACTAATAGAACTGTTATTCTTTTTAAATATTATATTACTTTAAAAACTTACCTATCGGCTTGCAATTGCAGGAACCACTTATACACTGAACACTAGGTATTACATTTATATTTATTTTTTAAAAATTATCTAGATTCAAATGTATTGATCTAATATTTTTTATAGTAGCTGTTAATAGTAATGAACTATTACTAGTTATTGTTTGCAATTGAATGGCCACCGAACCCGAAAGATGTGCTCGAACTAACGAGCAACGTAGGCCCGAACGGTCCACTTATCGCATCATTGTAATGTAAACATATCTGAAACGAACTAAGAATCTGCAAATTTAACAAAAAATGAACAGAAACGTAACGAATATTTTTTGTTATGGCTAATCATATATTAACTATCCAAAATACTGAATCATTTTCCTGGATGAAAATTATCTTTCTTTAATATTACCTTAGATATATAATATACATTTGATGCATACAGGGTAACTTTTTATAACTTATTAAAATAACTAATTATTTTTTAGAATATTTTTCTTGATATTGTTGCATATTTAAAGATTAAATGAATGATTCGTTTATAAGTTAAAATCATCCGATTATCATATAAAGATACTAATGTACATATCACCACCTGATTTTACGAATTATTAGGATATAAATTTATTTACACAGTCAATCATCCTCTTAACTATCTATATATTTAATTTTTAATATCTAAAATGTATATAATTTAACAAAAAATGGACAAAAACGTAACGAATATTTTTTGTTATGGCTAATCATATATTAACTATCCAAAATACTGAATCATTTTCCTGGATGAAAATTATCTTTCTTTAATATTACCTTAGATATATAATATACATTTGATGCATACAGGGTAACTTTTTATAACTTATTAAAA